GAGGACCCGTCCTGCCGTTTTGGACACACCCTTCATCTGCCATTACTAGCTTAAAAAAATCTCCGGTCGGGCCGCAATGCATTATGGGATATGCTGGGCCGGGAAGGATCCATCAGACCTGTCCTTCGATTCGGGGAAAAAGAAGGACGTATTTGTCGGCCGCATACGTCACAGCGCCGCGACGAAGGACGTCCAAAACGGAAGACTCCTCCGATGCGGCCGACAAATACGTCCTTCTTTTTCCCCGAATCGAAGGAAAGGTCTGATGGATCCTTCCCGGTCCAGCATATCCCATAATGCATTGCGGCCCGACCGGAGTTTCTTTTTTGCTAGTAATGGCGGACGAAGCGAGAGAAGTTTGTTTGTTTAGCGTCGTCACAGTTGCTAGGTAACATGACGTACGCCAGGGTAAGGAGGGGAGGCTAGACCGTCCAAATCCACAGCCTCTTTTTTTTCCGGTCTTCCCGGTCTACCAAGGACCCGGCCCGCCGAGACCGGGTAGTCTGGGTCCTCCGGAGGACCCGGCCTGTCGTTTTGGACACAGCCGAAATTTGTTGTGGAGTTGCTCATAATGTTCACATGGCCATTGCCAATGCTAATTCCAAGTTAAGCTAACCACTAATGCTGATGCTAATTTTACAAAGAGCTATAATTCAGCCATTTTTAAACACTCACAGCTGAAAATGTATTTAAGTACAGTTGTGTCAGAGAACTAAATTTACCAAAATCTAAATCTAAATACAAAATCCAAGATCCTCATACACTTGTCAAATATATATATATATATATATATATATATGTGTGTGTGTGTGTGTGTGTGTGTGTGTGTGTGTGTGTGTATGGAAAAGTAAAATGTGAAGCTATGTGAATTGTAGTTTTTTTTGTATTGTTTTGTAAATTATGTTTTGTTTGAATATATTCTGAGGATAAAAGGAGCAGACATTATAAGATTTATTCTTCTTCTGCTACCTTTCATTTTAGTTAGATTTTTGACTTATGTATTTTCTTTTCTATTGTATATAGTCATTTGTTTTTTAATGAAATGAAGAAATTTTTCGAATTGATTTGAAAATGTAATTGTTTAGGGGTGGCACCTGGGGTGGCCAATCCGGTGCGAGAGGTGACCACCCTTGCCACTCCTCTGGCTCCGCCCCTGGCCGAGGGCCAGAAGAGGCTTGAGAACCTTTTCTACAAAACCCTCATTGTTCTTGAATGAAAACAAAACAAGTGACAGTAATTTAATGAAAATAACTACAATGAATGTTTATAAAGTTTAAACTAAGATTAACCTAAGGTTTTATTTCTCTTTATTTACAAATATTTTGTTTGATATTCAAAAACCGGAGACATTTTTTGTGCAACAAAGCTGCCACAAAAAGATCAGCAGTTCCATAAGAGTCATCCAACTGAAACTCCTGCAAGAATTCATAAATTAATATAAATCATACGAGTCAGAGTTTAACAACATTCAGTTCAGTGTCTTCATAAAGGGACCCTTCTGCCTCAGACTCTGCAGTATTTCTTTAATTTGTCGGCATACCGTGTTTTTGCTGAACGGGCCAGACGTGGGCCAGCCGTGGCTCTGAAGCCCCCCCTCTTGAAGTCCCCTAGCTCTGGGTCGTGAACCTGGACGGGACTGCCTGACTGACTGCGACGGATCCTGGAGATGACAGACGTGAGAATAAATTTCTACAAAAACTCAGAGAGAAAAACAATTATATCAAAGTAAAGTTAAAAAAAAACTTACTTCCCCCAGATTTTCATAATGCCTCGTTGGCCTTTTCTTTTCTCTGGTGAGACGGGAGACTGCTGTCCAGAGTCCACTCCAGAGGACAGCGGGGACTGATCCGACAGGATGTACTCCTCCAGTTTCCCTGAATGGTCTGCAGGACGCAAACGAAACAGAAACACAAGGCGTGGATCAGAAAACGAGCAGAAACTACAAGATGATCAATTATTGTCGGAAATGTTCTAATAAACATTTTCTTTAACTAAGTGTTCTTTGCACCTGTAAATAAAACCTTCCAGGAGTTTGACTCGTATTTTATAGATGATTGAAAAAGTTTTAAGAATAAAACACAGCAACAATGACAAAAACAGCTTAATGAGTTCAAATTAATGTGAAACAACCACCAAAAACATACAACAATTACTGCGGCAATACAAAAAATGAAACAAAAGAAGTCAAAATAATGATTCTTTTATGTCAAATAATAAATAATAAATATTCTGGGTCACAGAATGAAAAAAGTCAAATTACAGACAGCAAACACCAAACAAATGCAAAACAAAGAACCATAAAAACAAGTGAAATAAAAGGAAAACTCTGCATCCAGAGCAGCTGAAGCTTTAACCTGCGATACCCACCCACGTCATAGAGGTCATGTTTTCCTGGAGATCCTGAGTCAGAGGAGGTTAGTGACACGAGAAGAGAAGCAGAGGCCCGAGTTAGTCCAAACTACTTTATTTTCAAAATAAAAGCACTTTTTATTAAAGCAGCAACATGCAAATCTATTTATTATGGTATGAGACTGCTTCTGCCTAAAAATGTTTGAAGTTAGTGACGGATGTGAGAGCATGGGAGGAAAACAGGTTGTCACTTTTTTTTGTTTACTTTAGTAAATGTTTACACATCCTTTAAGTTTGCCTCCTTCGTTACTCTCCTACGTTAAGCTCCAAAACCACAGATATGCTCATAACATACAAGTTTTAGCAAATGCTAATGTCAAAGCCACATGTTATCTTCAACAGCCCTCTGAGTCACGAGGGCGTCCCAATAATCCTGGTTTCAGAGCCGCTTGATCCTCGGAGAAACCAGTTCCCCGGCCCGACTCGGCTCAGCTCGCAGGTTTTTACTGCGACGGAGAAAATCCTGTTTCCTTCACGAGATAAACAGTGTTTTTTCTTTTGACGGATGTGTGTTCGTGTGACTAAGCGCACCGGCTCGGTGCGTCCTGTGAGCGTGGTTTGAGTTTCTGTGAGGGCATGCAGTACCTAAAACCGGAGCGCTGGCACTCCTGCAGCGGACTGCGTTCAGAACACAAACAGTCCAACAGCGAACAGAACAGGACACGAGGAGACAGAGGAGAAAATACGCACAGAGTTAAGCAGCTGAAGCAAAGTGAGACGTTTTGTTAGGATCATCTCTACAACAATCAAACAGTGGTTAAAACGTTAAATAAAAGATCATTTCTTTGCAGAGTTAAATTACAGAATCTTTCATCCTGATGCTAAAGCAAAGGAATTAATTTAGAAACCCCACAAACAAACTCTGTGACAAAAATAAAAGCTTGAGAGGAAGAACAAATCTCTCCTCCACTGAAAGGATGTTTGGTTTGTCGTCTTGAGGCTGAAAACCTAAAACTACGAGCAGAAACTCACTCAGGCTGTAGTCCTGGTTGTGAGCCGGAGACAGGTGGACGGGAGACAAATATTCGGTGTTCGTCCCTCCGAGGCCGTTCAGCTCGTCCTTCTGCCTCTTCTTTTTGCTCAGTTTCCCCGGCAGAGTTTGGTACTTGCTCAGCTCCATTTGGGGACTCTGCAAAGTGAAAAAAAAAAAAAAACACACAGATGATTGATAGGTTGTCACAACGTTGCACAAACTGACGACTAAACTGAACGACTTAAAGCTAAAAGAAGCAGAACACTAGCTAAATGCTATAAAGTGAACAAAACATTTCTTGCAATTCAGGGAATAAATCTGTGTTTCGAGTCTTTCGTGAGATAAGTGGGGTGGAAATGATGCGAACTGCTCTTTTGCTCTGTTGCGTAACAGCATGTCCGTCGGAGGGTGACGATGGAAGAACCTGACCGGGCGTCACAGTCAGCGGGGGTCGGAAGGAATAACGGAGGAAGAGCAACGGAGCCGAACAGCTGGGGGGCAGCGATGATGCCGAGCGCTACCGACAGCCACTTCAGGTGGGTCTCGGCCCTGTCTGTGTGTGTCTGTGTGTGTGTGTGTGTGTAATGCACATGAAGCATTTACTTCTTTCAAACAAAAACAAAGATTCAGTTTGAACTTCTTACAGCGGCTCATTTGGAAAGAGGAAGTCAAAGTGCAGCGGTTACGTCCCAATGTCCTGCAGCTGAAGTATCATTCGGCTCAGAAATAAGATTTTTTTCCCCATAATCCCCATTGTCTTATTATTATTATATTATTATTATTATTATTATTATTATTATTATTATTATTATTATTATTATTATTATTATTATTATTATTATTATTATTATTATTATTATTATTATTATTATTATTATTATTATCTGTATAATTTTTGCATCTTTGTGAAGCACTTTGTGACCCTCTACGTCTATGTCTGCCTCGTGTCTTGGGGGTTGGGTCTCCGATCCTCCACAGTCACTATTAAATATTCCATTGGAGAAATCTTGTATTTACACGCATGTTCACAACTGCTCACAAACAGGTGCTCTGATCCGGGGGGTTCTGACTGGTCACTGTGTGTGTACATCACAGTGGTAGTGGTGGGTGAGAGGAGGATGTTGGCAAAGCTGACAGCCATCATGGACAACCCCCACCACCCTCTGCATGAAACCATGGGGGGCTGTATGTAGGCATGTGTGTATGGATATCTTTATACATGTATGGGTATGTGTATATATTTATGTAAGCCATCCATGTATTTATCCATTTATTTTTTGATGAGCGGACAGATGTTGGGTCTGTGGTCCTGTGTTGTCTTGGTGTATATTTACTTCTAATCTCTATTTCAATCTTTCTAATTACTTTTCTCTTTGTTTTTCCCTCTTTTTTTGCCTTTACTTAAAAAATCACTGATGATGAAGAAATTAAGAAACTAATATTAAGTTCTTTTTTCTACTGAAGTGATTAAAAAAAGAAAAAGAAAGGTGCTATATAAATAAACTTTTACTTACTTACTTTACTATAATCACTGAATTAGTAGTTATAATAAACAATTATGGTGTTAAAATAAAAGTAAAAATTATTACAGGCAAACAAAAATGAATGACTACTATAGGGTGCCAAATGTAAAATGAACTGTTAAAAAATTTCATAAATTTTTTTTATTATTTAGCTCATTTTTCAGTGTAAATTTTTCTTATTTTAATGTTATTTAGCTCACTGTTTTTACATTTAGCTAATTTTTACTAAATGCGAAATTTAAACATTTTAACATTAAATCCTAAATCTAAATGTCAAAGTTAAACCTTAAACGTTGAAGTGCACATTTAGGTATTTTGGAATGGAACGCAGCCTTTGCCGTTGGTGCTCGGCTCACGTTATGATGTCATCATCCTGAGACGATAGCAACCGCTAGCTCCAAAGCAGCTAAAGCTTCCCTGCAAGACATCAAACTTGCAGTTCTGGCTGGTGTCTGAGCTGCGGTTCAAACTGCTGGACCACAGGGACCATCCAGACTGTTTTTATGAACACATTTTGAGTTTAGATTTTAAATATCATCTTCAGCATCATTAGCCGTGGCTAGCTGCAGCCATTGTTGATGTTTGTTGCAGGATGATGACATCATGCTGGTTATCTGACGCTAACTTCTGCAAACGCTTCTAACAGTGCTAAACCTTTTTCCAACTCTAGAAATATGGTCCACTGGGTAAAAAGTATTATTGTTTAAGCTAAATGATAAGTGAAACACTTCTGTGCACAAAACCTATAATCTGTATTTTCTAATAAAATTGTTCATCTGTTAATAATCAAAAGAATAAAATGAGAATAAAACCAATCCTGCAGAGCAGTAATGTGTTCTGTGAACATATGGAGATCAGTACCTCTGCCCCTACGTCTGATTCTGTTTCAACTGGCTGGATCTCAACAGCCTGAAGCCCAAACACACACAAGAGAGATAAAACAACACAAACACACAAACACAGAGTTAGTGGGTGAGCAATCAGGACAATTTAAAGAAGCTGAGTTAGTGCAGTTAAAAAAAGACAAAAAAGCACATTTAGAAAGTTAGAACTAATTCATAGTTTAGGATAAAGCTGTAATATTTTAATGAATTAAAGACATTAAAACAGACCTTTTGTAAAGATCCACTCTGCAGCTCCTCAAGGCTGCTGGACAACAACCTGCGCCGGTGCCTGGAAAACAAGCAGCATCTGACTGAGGAGACCCCGAGACGCGACAAAACAACCAGTCTGCTGCCGTGTCGCTGTTTCTGTGTGCACATTCTGGGCCGTGCACGTTACGTTGTTGTCTACGTCTGCTCTCATTTAGGATTGTTGTTTTATCGGATTCAGATTCTGCAGAGGTGTATGAAGTACTTGAAAAAAATAAATAAGTAAAAGTAAAAATACCTTAACTGAAAACGATTCATTTCACTGATAAGAAAAGTAAAAGTCATAAAACTGCTTACAATAATCAGGAAAGTAAAAGTACTTTTACACGCACTTTAAGGAATGATGTGTTGAAATTACTGAGCCAAACTGAGTAAACTGTTTTAGATTTACTGAACTCAGTTTAGTGGAAACATTTGACATAACTTAAGTAAATTCAACGCTTCATTTTCTTAGAGTGCAAAAACAACTCATGATGAGCTTCAGTCAGATTTAAATTTGTAGAGCGTAACAAGGTATTTTATGTTTTGAATGTAAAAACTTAAGAGTAAAAGTTACAATTTAAATAAACATTTAGGAAATTACAATTCAAGGTTCATTTGTATTATTTTTTACTTAATTTAAAAATAGTTTTTATATCAGTGGTAAACTTTAAATTTATGATTAAATGCAACAAAATTAATACATTTAAAAGGTGAAATATTATAATACTTGTCCTGCCCCTGAGCTGATGGCTTTAAATAACTGAGCAATTTAGTTGGATAGTACAGAATTAATGTCTCAAAATAAGCTGCTTTAAAGCCAGCATTGATCATAAACTACATCTCCCATAATGCATTGGATTATGAATGGGAATTCCCTGTAGGAAATGGGAGAGTTCAGAATTCAAGATCGCAGCTCCTCACCAGTAAAACTCACTTATTTTTACTTTTAATACTATTTATTTCACATTTAGTCAGTCGCACACAGTACTTTTCAGTGTTTATAAGAGGATGTGTTAAAACACTGTTTCTATGCAGGAAATACCAGGTAGAGCTCAGTCATTGTGACAAGAAACATGATGTTTTGTGTTTAGTTAATGTTAAACATAAAACGTCAAAGTTAACTACAACTGGCCCTTTGAAGGACACCATAACGTTCATTACCTAATTTCCCCCTGGGATCAATAAAGTATTTTTGAATTGAATTTTTTTTAATGTGGCCCGTGGTGAAAAGGAATTTGACTCCCCTGACTTAAGTATTGTAACAAAGTAAATGTACTGTGTCAAACTTCGGGTGTAGTAACATTATTTGTCGACTCTGTGGTTGTTTTGAGAGAAAATCTGTCGCACAAATGTGTTTAAAGCTCAGGCGACAGGAGACTCCCTCATGGATGCTGTTCTCCAGTTAGCTGCAGCCCAGAGAGATGCAGCTTTTACACCTGAAATCTTTTTTTTCAAATGTGTTTTTTCTTGTTTTACTAAAGCGACTGAAGAACTCACAATGACGATCCGTTTAGGAAACTCGTGTCGCCGGCGGTCAGCAGCGACGAGTCCACACAGTTCTGAAAACTACAACAAACAGAATATGAGATAAAGTAAATTATAATTTTTAGTGGTGTGTTTGTTTTATTGCATTTTTACCTTAAATCCATTTCTCTTTGATAAGGAGATGAGGACAGCATGAGCGGAGAAGATCCTCTTGATGACATCTGTACAAAAACAAAATAAATTTTATATATAATTTTAAAGAAAAGCTTTAAAGTGCCTGTGACATGCCTATCCTTCAAAAACAAAAAGTCAAAGAAAATATCTTTATACTTAAGAAAACTGACATTGAACACAATTTTACCCATTTTGTCACATAACTGGCATATTTTATTTTGAATTTGGCTCAACCAAAGTGAAACAGGAAGTGACATCAAAGGGGAACTCATTAATAAAATAAACTCGCTGGTCTTTGTTTATTAAAACAAAATTATTTAAACTTGCACTCTTCATGTCTCTTTGATAGAGACTAAAAATAATCTAAAGAAACATCAGATTCTTCTCCACAGTCTGTTTTGTTAGCTTTGTTACCACGCTCTGTTTACACGCAGACATTCCCCTTTGACATCACTTCCTGTTTCTTCACAGGCAAATATCTCAACAACCGTTCATCTCAGTGGGGTGAAATTTGTTTTGCAACATGTTATCAATGCTATCTTTCCAAAAATGCATTCATGTTTATTACAAGAATCTGATGTCACAGGCCCTTTAAAAATCTGCAGTTTGTAAGCAAATTATTTCCAGAATAATCATCGTACCTCTGATCTGATGATGTCCGAATGGGCTTTGTGTGTGATGGCTTTAAGCTTTAGACTTCCACTCAGCTCCTCTTCACTGCTCCCTGGTTTGATTAAAACAAATCATTAAAGATTTAATTGTGTATTTTTTTTAATGACCAAACATCAGAACAGGAAACAGATGTAAGCCTCACCGTGTGTCAGAGCCAGAACCTCCCGGGTTTTTCTGTACTGACCGAGCAGCAGGGTCAGCTCTTCTATACGGCGATCCTGTTATCACCAAACCCAGAAATTTATTTTTCGATGCAGAAAAACTGAGCAGTGACAGTGAGGAAAAGTGATTTAATTTACCTTTTCATCATTTGAAGCTAACAAAGACTCCATTCCAACCTTTAACCGTTGGTACTCCTGGTCTAAGAGAAAAGGGGGGAAAAAAGGCAGAAATTTGACACGGACCTCTCAGAACTTTCATGTTAGTTAGTTCCCGCCGTCTGACGGGAGCCCGGAGGGGTGCGGGAGGCAGACGTGACGGCCGTGCTAATGCAAACAAACAGGCAAAACAAACACACAACGACAAGCACGAGCTCCCTCATAGCATCACCTGAGACAGGAAGCACGGATTCATGAAAGGAAACAGCAAACTGAGGAGACGAGTGACGACACGTGGCTTTGGGTTGCATTCATCAGCAGAAAAACACTTTATATAACTATGAGATTTGAAAAACTGAAGGCACATTCTTAAAGATGCATGAATTTAAAAAGATGCAGACTTCATAACATTCTGTTCAGACACACACACAATCTTTGGTCCAGGTTCTAATCAAACCCATCAGCAAACAGTTTTATATTTCCACTAATTTTGGACTCAAACTTAAACTGAAAGTTCAAAGGTCAAACATTTAAACTGGCAAATAAAAAAAGAAGAGAGTTTGGTTTGAAACTGGACCAGTGGGAACAGCGAGCACACCTTGCCTTACATTTTTGAATCAGCTGCCTGATATACACCTCCTCTACAGCAGAGGGCAGCAGGGAGTCAAGAACAGTCAAAGTTCATGTCAGAGGAGAGGAAAGGTGACATTAATGTGAGCTGACGGACAGGCGTATCGCTGGCCGTCTCTCACACGTCAGCGCCAACAGGCGTGGGTCTGCTGCGGTTAGTCAGGCTGTCAGTACCTCTCTCCGCGCTCTCGTTGGCGCCGCCGCCTCTGGACAGCAGCTGGGTCTGCAGGCTCTCGATCTCCGAGTCTTTGGAGGCCAGGAGGTGCTGCAGCTCTGAGATTTCCGCCTGTGGACGAAGACAAACCGTGAACTGACGTGGTCTTCCAGGTCACCGAGTTTCAAATAATATACGAGTTTAGGGCAACTGAGCAAACCAGAGATTAAAAATTATTGTTATTATTATTATTATTATTATTATTATTTTTGCTAAATGTGCCATAAAGTCACCCAGAACTTATTACAAAAACCTTCAACCTTAAAATGTTTAATGCTGCAAAAACTACATAATAAAAATACAAAGCAACAAGTCAATGAGGTGATATTTTTGGCAACACAAGTGCAAATTATTCAACTTGATAATAAAAGGCAAAAAGCAGCGAGGGAAGAAGGATAGATTTTCATTCTGTCGGCTTTTGAACTATGGAGGACAGTAAGTGACAAAATTAGAAATAAGAGCAGAAATACAAAAATGTACCAATAAATAATTAATAAATAAATACACTTAAAATTCACAAATTAAATTGAAAAAGGAGAACTTTACCTCGTTTTATAATTTAATTGACCTTCATATTTTTTTTTGGCTTAGTTCAATAAAATTATATATTTTAGCACATAATTTATATTTTACTGTTTTAAAACATATATATACTTTTTATTTTTCTTTTACTTGTGCATGCATTTGTCTTTTAAATGAATATATTTAATAATTTTAAAACAATTTTTCCACAAATATTTTTTTATTTCCATGTGTTTTTACATTTTTCTGTCTACTGTTTTTACATTATCTTATGCATTTCTGCCTCATTATGCAAATGAGGCAGGCGGAGCTTCTTGTGTCAGCTCCTCTCCTATTGGTCAACAGATAGGAAGTAGCAGGATCCATGTGCAGATCTACTGTGTTGCTGCTGCCTCAGTTTAGCTTAAAGTTTAAAGTTTAGTTTAAAACAAAGGCACACGTAAGAGTTTTTCTCCTTACTTTTGTTTACTTCTCCTTTTTTAATTTAATTGGTGCATTTTAAATGTGTTTATTGTTCCATTTATATGTTTCTGCTTCTATTTCTAATTATGTCAGTTTCGGTTCTCCATACTGAACACTACTATTACTTTCCAATTCTATTCCAAGAGATTAGGAACAATAACAATTAGGAAGAAGACACGAAGAAGGAGAAGTGCCAAAAGAAGAGGCATTAATCATAGGAGAATTTTTTTTAAAGCGAGGAGGAGGAGAAAGAGCGGGAGGAAGAGGAGGCACCTGTGCGCTGCGCCAGCGCTCCTCCCAGTGCTGCTTCTCCAGCTGTGTGTGCTCCACAGTCAGCTTGAGGCTGGACAGCTGGGTCATGAGCGACTGGTAACACACATGGAGAGAATAAGAGATGGAGAGCTAGAGAGAGGGGACAGAGGACAGGAAGTGGGTAATGATGGGGGGAGGGAGGGAGATAAGAGGCGGAAGATAAAGTGAAGAGAGCACGCCTCGGAGAGGAGTTAACAAAGAAAAGAGGATGGAGAGAGAGAGTGAAAGAGGGGGAAGGAGAGGATTGTAAGCAGCGTGACCTTCAAAGCAACCCATATTAAGCAATGTGTTAGGAGGGATTTTCCTTATTTTAAGCATTAAATTATCTTTTTGATTTATTAGCAAAAAAAAAAACTGTGATGTCAGAATGTAAAGATACCAAAATAAGTTCATGCGACTAAAGGGAAATATAAATAAAACAGCTTCATTAGTTACAGAAATCTTTCTTTGTAAATCAGAGAAATAATCAGTGTCAAAAGAACAGTTGTAAGTTTTGAAAATGAAGATGCAAAGCTCACATCACATCAGGCATGAAGGAATAAAAATAAAAAAAAACTAGAAATGCAAAGCAGTAATGAGCGGGGCCCAAGCCAGTTTATGGCCCATGTCATCCCCAGCACCGTCGACCTGTGCACCATAATCTATCAGGATTAGATGAGTTTCTGTACAGGATAGAAGACAAAACCTACCGAGGCTTTGTCGGAAAAGTTTCTAACTCCTCACAAATCGTATTTTTCATTTTTTTTCTTGGTTTGGAGCAAAATCGTCCTGCCTTCTCTCCTGTTTTTACAGGAAATCTTGTAGTGAGGATCTGACAGATTTGATTTCTCTGTTGCATCTTTTGTTTTTGATCTTTCTATAGTTTTTAGTGTAAAGTGCTTTGAAATTGACAGACTTTAAAAGTGCTTTATAAGTTCAGTTTAGTTACCATTTATCAGTTTTTTTGGATATTCTTGTGAAAAAAGTCTGTTTTATAATTTTAAAATAAAAAACAAGATTCCTGATACCCTACAGTGTTTATTTCCTGCCGTTATGTGAATTATATACTATAAAATCACAAAATAAGCATCTTCTTTACAAACACATCATCTGATGCGTGAACACTTTAAATTATAGCGGTGTACCTTGGTGGCTCGAAGTTTCCTCTCATACTGGCTCTTTTCTCCCTCCAGCTCCTCCACTTTGCTCTTCAGCTGCTTTACTTCCTGGACCAAATCCTGCCGGCAAGCCAAATCAAATCGTATTTTAGGTAAACAAATGTTCAAATGTAGAAAGGAAAAACAGATTGTCAACAGCACTGGGACGTATGCATGCTAATATGGATGGGAGGGTATTTTAAATATCAGGTTCAAACTCGGTGAAGTTATAAAAAGTTTCCAGGGTTGGACAGAACTGTGGTTAATAAAGGAAACACGGTCCTTCCTGAAACAAACACCACAAAGTGCAGTTATCAACAGGCAGGAAAAAAGATGAGCCCAGAACACGATTGGAAGGCTTCCAGACGGCACATCAGATCATTCCCACTGTCTGAGGGAAAACCGTGGAAAGAGTTACTTCTCGGAACGTGACCCATCCACCTGGTCCGAGCAGGAAGGAGCAGACAGAAAACCGGGTTAGTAAGTGGAAGAATAGTTGCCATGCACACAAACTACACCTGATCACATTAAAAACACGACCCAAGATTTAACTGAGACACGATCGGGTTGAAAAATAGTCCAAATGTTTCAAACAGTTGAGGAGTAAAAGATTCCCGTTCACACGTTTTACAGCTCCTCAAACGAGTGCAAGCATTTGGAAAACCAATCAAAAGTTTTCATTTCTGCAGAAACCAGAGCCGAGCATCACCCCCAGCATCCTGCAGCACACATACACACACTCTGCACAAGAGAGGCTGTTAGTTTGATTCTGTGGAAAACTCCAGATGCGTGGTAGTTCATGGATGGGTTAAAAGGTGAAAGAAACGGAGAAGGAATGATGGGGGGGATAAGATGAGTTCATCCATCAAGTCTCCCTACGTGAACGGTCTGTTCTCCTTTGTGTTTCCAGGATTCGGAGCCAGACGGGCTCAGGTCTGACCCCGCAGGAGGACTGCAGCCCTGGGCCGGTTGGCCTCCGGGCTCCTGGGTCTCCTTCTCCTCCAGTGCTCGTTTCTCCTGGATGCGAGTGCTGATCTCTTCCTGAAACTTGCACATCTGCTCCTGGAGCTCACTGATGAGGTTTACCACACACTGGGAGGGACGGAGGTCAAACGAAAGGGCGACAGAAAAGTGTGAAGTTGTGAGGGGAGGAAAAGAGAAATCAATAAAAGTCAAGTGTGAAGTTAGGAGAAGAAAGAAGAGAAGTGGATAATCTTCATCAGTCTGTACAGAGGAAAGGATGTTATATCATCACTGCTGGCGGCTGATGCAATAAAAACACAAAATAATCTAAACAATAAGCATAAAATGTGAGCATTTATTGAAATAATGCATATTTTCCTCCATCTTCCACTGGTTAAACTGTGGAAATAACATCTTATGTAAGACATTACATCAACCTTTACATCTGCACAACCGACAGATTTTTTTTTTTTGTTTATTATAAACAAAAACATTATTGTCCTCCTTCACCTTCTATTGGTGGGTGATAATAAACATAAAACACAAAAAAATAAAGGCAAAATAAAATAAAAACATACAAAAGTGCTAAATCTGTCCAAGTTATGAGGAGATTATTAAAAGAAGAAWTAACCCGCTACAAATAAAGCCGTAGCTTCTCTGAACATCGTCAGATCATGTTTTTATGTCATTTAATAGTTCCAAACTGTAATAAAAAAAAAAAGTGTGTTGTGAGAGGAACAGCTCTGAGGCAGATGCAGGTCAGGCCTCAGCGTCTCACATTGCTGGAATAGTGTGAGACACAGATATGAGTTCAAATATGCGTCAGAACACAAGGGGAGTGTTTGTGCTCCACTTAGCCGTGTGACAGCCGTCAGGACCGGAGCAGGAGTTTATCATCGGGTTAGTGTCGGGGGTCAGGGGAGAAAAACTAAAACACGTCCTGCCAGCTACAACGAAAAAAGGAGCAATCAGCAGATCAGCTGCTCTGTGACTCATTAAAGAAACCATATTGTGCTCATTTACAGGAAGAAATGACTTGAAAGTTCATTTTTGTTCTCCCCTCTGCTCTGTCATACGTACTGCTGCACCACTCTTCCAGCAGAAGTCACTATGTGCACAATGTTTTCATTCAATCATGTTAGCAACATGTTAGCACCAGATCTGAGTTTAGTTGCACTGCTGTTGAGAAGATAATAACTTAACCGTGGTTCCTCTTTAATGGTTTTAAAGGTTCTGATTTATTGACTTTGGTTCATTCTGAGGGGAAATATTAGCAGCTCGGCGTGACAACACTGAAGACATATTTGTTGTTTGTTCTAAAGCTCTCTGCAGTGGTGGGTATGGAGGACCAACACTGACATAATTGGAAATAAAAGCAGAAAAATGTTAATGGACAAATAAATAAATAAATAAATAAATAAATAAATACACTTAAAAAACACAAATTAAATTTAAAAAGGAGAAGTTTAGCTTCTGTTTTATATATTTATATAAATCATTTATTTTTCCAGATTAGTTCCAATAAGTTATATATTTTAGCACATAATTTACATTTTACGGTTTTAAAAAATATATTTAAGTTATTTTTTTTACTTGTCCTTGCATTTGTGTCTCTTAAAGGTTTATATATTTTTTAATTTTTCTCACAAGTCTTTTTATTTCCATGTGTTGTTTTTACATTTCTATGTCTCCTGTTTTTACTTTACCTCATGCATTTCTGCCTCATTATGCAAATACAGTGGGCGGAGCTTCTTGGCTCAACTCCTCTCCTATTGGTTAACAGACAGGAAGTAGCAGGATCCATGTGCAGATCTACTGTGCATGCTTCTGCTGCTTAAAGTTTAATTTAAAACAAAGACATAGGTAAGTGTTTTCCTCCTTTCCATTGCTTTTAACAAAACTTTAAACTTCAGGCTAAACTGAGGCAGCACAAGCATGCACAGATTAGCTTTATAATTTGCTTCTGCTAAGATTTATTGAACATAAGTGCTTTAGAACTTGCACAAGTAACTTTTGGATCAGCACTGCCCACCACTGGCTCTCTGGTTGTAACAACCCCAATTTTGGCACCAAGATGATAACGTTAGATGGAGCAGAAACTGGACTATCACGCAGAACTTAGAAAAAGAAAATTGAACAAGACCAGATAAGATAAAACCAGACACAAGCACATAAAGGAGTACATAATGTTTTCCCCTGGTTTTTACGAAAATGATGTGATAACTTCTGTATAAAGACCATGTCAGACACATAAAACTGTATTTTTTCCACAGCTGAAAGCAGGTTAGGTCATCAAACTAAGCCCCTCCAGCCTGAAAAGTCGTCTTTTCTCAGGTGTTTGACAGCTGGCAGCAAGTTTTTAATCTGTGGTTTTAGTGTGGTTTCCTGAGGTGAAAGTGTTTTACCCTCAGGAACGCACAAAAAGGGATGCCTGTCATTCCTCCTGCCAGGAGGACACACACACACACACACACACACACACA